AATGAAATAAAAAACAGACACTAATAACAACACATGCATCTTTATATAGTGACTCAACAAAGCTGTTTAGATTTACTTGTTAGATTAAAAAAAATTATTAAATAGTATTAGTTTAAGCTCATTTTCTTCGAAAAGTTAAATATTTTTTTCTTTAAAATATATAAAGAATGGAAGCATATATACCAAAGTATTTACTGTGGCTGTTCCTGAACAGGAGAGGATATAAATGCTCCATTTAAAATTACTTATCTATAGTTTCTGATTTTCTTGTAACATTTACTGGCAGGATGAAAGATGATAAACAATTTTTTTAAGGTAAAGAAACTGAACAATTACGCAATTCATATTTGCACCAATCCCATTTCCACCAATCCCATTTTACTCACAACAATGAGTAAGGTGGAAATTCCGATTAGCATAAGAACATAATAAACTTTAAAGGCAAATTCAGGTTCAAATCCTGACTCCATCATTTAACCTTCTTTAATGTGACTAATGCCTGTACATATTTGCTTAAACATGCATTAAGTCTCCCTGGAAGGACACAAAAGAAACTAACAGCACAGGTTACCACAGGAAACAGCTAAAAGATGAAAACAGCCTAAATGTCCGTTAACTGATAAATGAATAAATAAATTGTGGTATATGCATATGATGAGTATCATTCAACCACAAAAAGGAATGACGTACTGGTATCTACAACATGAATGAACCTCAAAAAGATCATGCCAAGTGAAAGAAACCAGATCAAAATCACATGTAATTCCATTTACAGTCATGCACTGCATAATGATGTTTTGGTCAACGACGGACCACATATAGCAGCAGGGTACTGAAACTTCTGGCCTTCACTTTCTTCATATGTGCAATGGGGATACTAATTTCTATGTCACAGACTGCCTGGAGGATTAAATAAAATCAATTCTAGGTAAAGCAGTCAGCTCAGTGTCTGCACATAGCAAGAGCTTAACAAACGTTACCTTTTGTCAGTGAACATGTGTGTAAGTCAGCTTTGAGGTATAATTTAGCTGACATAATTTAGTTGTAAAGAAGTTCACATATTTTTTTAAAAAATGTGTATTTTATGATTTACTAAAATGAGAACTCCCTAAAAGTCACAAGAAAGGGGGAGTGGGAAGAAAACCCTACATAGACCAAGAGAGGCCTTGTATCTATGGACAAGAGGAAAGGCAAACCTGGAGGGAGGTCCAGAGTCCACAAATTTTTATCTTTATGTACGATTAAAGCACGTAAAATTATATTCCCTAATAACCTATAAAGTATAGTTATGACCACCTGGTGTTCATAACTATTATAAAGCTAGGGGTTCACAGGGTTAATGGAGGACTCATATTTGGTATTAGGAAGGGAGGCTGCTGTGTAGCCCTTAGCAACTGCAGAGCTAGCCCTGGGAATGCAAACAGCCAGCCAATTGGACGTCAGAAACAAAGTTATTGTTTGCAGAGCATCATCACAGCTACCTTGGGATGGTCATGGTTTCCTTCTGCTGTTTTTTAATGATAAACAAATAACAAAAATTTTATTTGGTGTACCCTAAGGTACACACTGATATGTTTTTATATCAACAATATTTCTAGCCTGTTAACATTCAAGAACTAGCTTTTAGGACATATAAATGTTTCAGTTCAAATATAAATTACCTACACTCTTACAGCCAAAACAGTTTCCCTGAAATCTGCTCAGGCAAGAATACTTTATCGATAGAACAGAGATCTTTTGCTACTGTTAAGAACTATGTGGGGTACATTGGTTAGAATAGTGTGTTTTTGTTTTTAAAGTAATTAATATATTCACAGGGTTCTAAAAACCAAACAATTAAAGAAAGAAATCCCACTCCCACTACTGACACCTTCTACTATTACCAACCACTTCCTAACAGGTAATCACTTTTAGGTTTCCTGTGTGTCCTTTCAATTTCTTTATGCATATCGCATATGGGCAAACAAATGTATAGTCTTAATTCTTCCTCTCTCCTTAACAAAGAAAGTATCGTATTATACACACTATTCTGCATTTTCCTTTTTATCATCAACATATCTTTTTTTTTAAAGCTACACAGTTTTCCATTATATAAATAATAATATTTATAAATTAAGCAGTCTCTTATTGATGAACGTTTGGGTTGTTTCTAGTCTTTTGTTATTATAAACAATGTTGTAATGAATAATCTTGTACAGTAGTCCCCCATGTCTCATCCTTGGGGGGATACATTCCAAGATCCCCCAGTGGATGCCTGAAACTGCAGACACTATTGAACCCTATGTATGCTATGTTTTTTCCTATACATACATACATACCTATGATAAAGTTGAATTGATAAATTAGGCACAGTGAGAGATTAACTACTACTAATAAAATACAATTATAACAATATACCGTAATAAAAGTTATGTGTTATAGTTTCTCTCTCTGGAATATTCTGTTTAATATTTTTAGACTGCAGTTGACCACAGATAACTGAAACCACAGAAAGTGAAACTGCAGATAAGGAGTGACTACTGCATCTATAAAATCTACTAAGCCCAGAAGAGGCTTAGTACATCAAAGAGCATGTAAGTTTGTAATTCTGATAAACCCATTCAAAAATATGATGAAAGCTATGGAACTTGATCCCCTCAATAATGAACAGATATACAAAAATTTCACAAACTCTATGAGCCCTCACATGGACTAATTTCTAGAGATACTGACCAGATGATTTAGGAAGGGTCTCAGAACTACATCAAAATTCTGAAAACCTGGAGACTTTACCTTGGTTGATTTCAGCTGCAGAAGGCCCCAAGCTCAAGCTCTTTTTCTGCTGAGCATTTTTGGCAAGAAGTGTGTGCTTGTCATCATTCCCTGTATCCATCTCTGAAATGGTGACAGCCAGGATCCGGCAGAAATTAGCAAGCTGCTGCTGATCGAAATTGGATACTAAAGTACTCAGATTGGGGACTTCATCTAGTCGGATCATTTCCTGTAGGAAGACACAAACAATCCCCATGCTCAATTCACTAAAGACAATGGCTGTGCCTCTCTTTTGCATCCCCCAAAAGTGGGGCTCAGTAGCTGGACCACTTAGGTTCACAACCCAGCTCCACAATTTGAAGCTGTGCAACCTTAGGTAAGTTATGGAACCTTCCTAGTCTTTGCCTCTTTACCTATAAAATGGGACTAACTTACCTCATAGAATTAGTCTGAGCATTAAATTTACCCTTTGAGCACCACTGTTTTCACTCTCTACATTTGTTCTCGTGGTGCATTTTGCCTATTTAAAAAAAGAAATGCCTATCACTCAAGTTCTATAAATCACAAATTACCATTCTTGCTACAGATTTTCTTCTTTTTAAGAACATTTCAAATATAGCTGAAGGCCTCTGTGTATCCTCCACCCAGTTACATTCCCCTTTCTCTCCCAGAGGTTTCTGTTATTTTGAACCCTGTATTTATTATTCCCATGCATGTTTTTATACACATAAATATTTCCATTAAAATACATGGTACTGCTCTGCATGCACAGTGTGAATAACATCATACTACAATTTACTTTTGACTCAACATTTTGAGATTTATCTACACTGATACAAGCAGCTCTAGTGACAAATGACTGTTTTACCCCACAATTTAATCATTCTTCTTTTAATACATATTTAGGTAAACTACAACTTTTCACTATTTAACAGTGTTGCAATGAACACTCTCATAGGTGCTCCTTGTGTACATGTACATGTGACCATTTATCTGGAGAGCAGGAATTTTTATCTTTTTCTTGACTTTAATAAAAATAGTTCCAAAATTTCAAAATTAAGTTTAGTATTTACTGTAAGTTTTAATAGATACCCTATATCAAAGTTACGGAATTTTCCTTCTATTCCTAGCTTTTATTATGAGAATTGAATATTATGAAATGCCCTTTATTTGGTTATATTTTCATTTTTTTCTTCCTTAAAATCTGCAAATGTCATGTACTACATGAACTTTTCTCATTTTGAACCATCCTTGTATTCCTCAGATAATACCTGCTTATCCTTCTTCCTGCTAATTATTTAACTTCCACTGGATTGGGTATTTCTCTTTCATTGCACATATCATATGAACTTGTAATTATCTGTGCCTGCGCCTATATCCCAAATAATCTGACACTGCTTTGAGGGAGAGGTATGTCCTACCTTTTCTCCAGAGCCTCAATGCATAGGATCTGGTAGCGAGGGTATCAGTAAGTGTGCAGTGAACAAGCGAATGATTCTGAGAAGCCTCAAGAATCCCACTCCCCTCTATTTCTGGTAATGGAAGAAGACAGGAGTTTGCTGTGGAGGGGGCATTTGGGAGCAGCTGCTTCCACCTTTGCTTTTCCTTTCACCATTTGTTGTGTAACAAATGTTAGCTATTACTATTACTAGACACTGACTTTCAGCTTACCTGTTCTTCTAGTCCTGTCATAACTCAGTGAATGGGTCCCAAACCAGGTCCCCCCAGCCCACTTCTTTTTAATTTTTATTTAACACTTGACATATACAACATAAATTATACAGCATAACAAAATGAAAGCTGTCTATGCCTCCCCTATTGCATCTCTCTGCTTCTGGTAACCACTATCATGAATTGTTTAATATTGCCTTGCCATTAAAAAAACATTGTTTATCATATAAATGATTTGTTTTTATTTTTGAGCTTTGTAAAAATTATATACTATCTACAGTTTTCTGCAACTGGCTTCTATCAGTCAATCATTTCTATTACTCAGCTATAATGTTGCCTATAGCAACAGTTCATTCATTTCTACTTTGTAATATTCCATTGTGTGAAGAGAGTACATTCATCCCTTCTCCTGTTGATGGATCAGAGACTTGGTTTGTTTTTTGCTCTGAAACAGTGATGTTATGAACATTCTTATGTATCTCTTGATGCACATGTGCAGAAGTTTTGCTGGGGCAGTGGCTTCCAAACTGTTCTAATAATGATCAAGAATAATAACCCAGTAAACATACATGTGGAACACATGAATACATATATAAATATGAAGCAAAAACTTCCTCAAAT